GAAAACTTATTAAAATTGAAACGGCCTATTTTGAAAATAATGATTTTCTTGAAAATCCGCCATTGTCCATTGATTTTGCGTCCTCGTTTCACCGACACCGTATAATTATCAAAATCGAGTTTCAAATCAACAGTAATCAGTATCGATAAATAGTATTCACTATAAACAACCGTTAAATAGTATTCACTATAAACAACTGTGTTTCCTCCAGAATATTTAAAATAAATAGAATATCATCAGCCTTGGCAGCCTTGCACAAAATCCGATTTCTTGAGGTTGTTTATTAACAACTTAAACATTTGTAGTGATTTGGGTAAATAAACATCTGTGTATCTACCTAGCTAATTTTTCTTGAAGTAACTATTTAGAGCCTGGATGTACGTCTAGCGGTAAACACTAAACGTCACTATATTTTCTTTGTCACTATTTGTCATCGGTCAATGAATTCTTTAGCTCCATACACGCCATACACGCCATACACGCGATGTGACTTACGAAATGTTTGAATCTGAGTGTTTCATTTTATTCAAACTTGATTAATTCTTTATTGTCGAAATATCCGGCTGCTTCATTCTAACACAGATATACTCCGTTATAACCAAGACATATATAGCCATTTCCTAGGGGGCATAGCATAGCTACAAATAGCTACAGGCAATTATTGTGGCTTTTTTCCGAAGAAATAAACGATTTGCATGGGTTCACAATCCGTAATCCGCATCCGCAATCCGCATCCGTAATCCGCATCCGCAATCCGCAATCCGCTACCCGTAAAGTCTACCATGCCAAAAAAATTTGTGTTTTTTTTTCCAAAAAGTTTTTTTTTTCAAAAAAAAGTTTGTGGTTTTTTTTCCAAAAAAAGTTTGTGTTTTTTTTCAAAAAAAAGTTTGTGTTTTTTTTTCCAAAAAAAGTTTGTGTTTTTTTTCAAAAAAAAGTTTGTGTTTTTTTTCCAAAAAAAAGTTTGTGTTTTTTTTAAAAAAAAAGTTTGTGTTTTTTTTTCAAAAAAAAGTTTGTGTTTTTTTTTCAAAAAAAAGTTTGTGTTTTTTTTCTTCAAAAAAAGTTGTTTTTTTTTTCCAAAAAAGTTGGGAGACAAGACATTATCAAAGTTGAAAGAACAGCAGTACGAAGCAGTTAGGAAGATTGTTGTTGATAATCGCCCACAAAAGCAGTAGATGTCGATCGCTAATTTTATTTATTTAAATCAATTAGTTGATTGAAATTAATAGGTTGAGACGTGATGTTCTCATAGCAAAAAGTCAGCATACTTATGGCAGATGCTAGTCGTATTTCCAAATCAGTGATGTTAATCAAACAAATCTGTGTTACATGTTCAAAGCTGAAGTGCCATCTGAAGAGAAAATATTAAAGCCAGCTAGAATATGAAGTTAATTGTAATGACTATTTTCTTCCTAGAAACCGATTTTTTACAATTTTCAAATGATTTGCAGTATAGTATGTCTTATGTATGACTGTTGACTTTTAATAAAACACAAAAAAGTCTAAAAATCTGTACAACAGCGACTTAAAATCGAATATAAAATAGTGAGAATATATACTAAATTTTATCAACATGCATTGAGAACATCACGT